AGTATTTGATTTGCAAAACAAGCAGCAATATCTTTTTGAATACTTGGAGACACCATTTGATTATTCTTTGGAGCATTTTTTAATATAACTTTACCTACATTCTCATTGCAATCACCAATTACGGCTAATGTTTCCAAGAACATGCCTTTAAAGATCGACATTTCAGATTCATCGTGACCACGAAAGGGCAATGCATTCTTCAACAAGAACCTACAGGTCTTAATTGAAGCATCTAATCTTATTCGGTGCTCATTTTTCTCTTTCTCAGTTTGCTTATGAAAGGCAGCAGCAATAGATCGATCTTGGCTCATTAGATCCTCACTTTTCTTAAGTGCTCTATTATGAAAACTATTGATGTCGCCGACATGAAGACCAAATCTTTCCGTTTTATTCCAACTATTAAAACCATATGTCACGAAAGCATCACTCCCACATTGTCCTACGTAATGATCTCTAAACAAATAACAACACAAACAAAAAGCTCTATCCATTTTTACACTATACTCCAACCAATTAGCATATTGATCAAACCAAGTCGGAAAAAACGTCTTCCTTTACTCCCGACATATTTTTTTGGAAATGCATGACCCCATGGTTGACAAGGTCCTTTCAGCAAATATTTTCTCCTTATTTCATCCCTTTGATTAGGATGATATTCCGAAATCTTTTTCCTATCAGCCGGATCCCAAGGAAGATCGTTCAAATCAATTTCGCAAGGCATCGAAGGAGCAGAGCTCGATTCAAGTGTTGATGCTTTCCTTTTAAAAAATCTTTCCATTTGATTTGCCTAATTGCCTACAAAATTAACCAACAAAATTAACCTAAAAATAAAATACCTAACCTAAAGCATTTACCAATTACTAACAAAATTAACCTAAAAATAAAATACCTAACCTAAAGTATTTACCAATTACCACAAAATTAACCAACAAAACAAAATTAACCTAAAATACCTAACCTAAAGCATTTACCAATTACCANTTAACCTAAAATACCTAACCTAAAGCATTTACCAATTACCACAAAATTAACCAACAAAACAAAATTAACCTAAAATACCTAACCTAAAGCATTTATCAATTACCACAAAATTAACCTAAAATACTACTAAATTACTAATTAACAGTGGCTGGCAGAAACAGTCAAACAGAAATTACAAATTAGAATCTTTACCTAAGTTACCAAGAGTCCAAGAAAGGCAGAAAGCCAAGAAGAAACTCGCACTGTCTGTCGCACAGTCACACAGGCCACAGCCGGAGCCCAGAGGCCGGAGGCGCACAGCACAGCGGCACAGCCGCACAGGCGCACACCGCACACTCGCACAGCGATCAACGATGAAGAAGAAGAGTGAATCGGTCCGTCGCCTGGTCTGGTTAGTGGTTCCTTCCTGTTCCTCCCTCCCGACTTCCTTTTCCTTTTCGTTCGTTCAATCGTTCAAGTCTTCAAGGGGCCTCTTACATCAAGGGGTTGGGGGCCCAATACACCTAATTTAAAAAATACAAGTATTTTTTTTTTGGGCTTTGCTACTTACTTTTTGTTGGGGGCCCAGGACCCCTACCACAATATACTGCATCCGCCCCTGTATCTGTTGTATTCACAGCCCAATATTTTTCTAAAAAAGATTAAAAACGGTTTCATAAATTGAAACTGAAACTTTCCCAAAATTCATAATATGAAAAGATTAAATAAGTGAATTTGAAAATATTTGCTTAAAAACTTTATGAATTGACGGTATACTTTCCTGATCATTCATTTTGTGGTATGATGTTAATGCTCCTCATTCACATCATAAGGAGGATTTTTGAAGACTTGGGAAGTTGATACAAAATGGACGAAAATAATTGATTCTAGGGAGAGTAAAGAATATTTCTGAAGATTAATACTGATTTCTGAAGATTATTGTATTGATGTGATTAAGGGAGAGTGAATGTGAAGATTAATTATGTTTTGAAAGAACGGGGGAGATTGCTTGAAAGTTGAAAAGAAGATCTTATCAAGTTAAAGGGGAGCTTGTAAACTTTTGAAGATGATTAATACTTGGAGAAGATTGTTTGAGATTGTTCAAGATTGTCAAAGTCTGGAAGAAGATTGTAAAAGTGTTGAAAAGTTGAAGATTGTCTGAAAGACATGTAAAGAAAACATTTTCTCAAAGAGGGAGATTGCTAAAAGGTTAAAAGATCAAACTTTGAAGATGTCAAGTTTTCTGAATGAATTTTAAAGATCGTTGTTGTTAAAGCTAAAGCTTGAAGATCTGAAGGATTTGTTGTTTTTGGACTTGAATCCAAAGAGAGAGATTGTTGGGACTAAAATGTTGTATTCAAGTCCTCGAGCTTATTGTGTTTTACATGCTTTGTAGTGTTAGTTGTTCCTTGTAATGGGTAGGTATAGATAGTGATAGTTTTGTTAGTTGTAAAAGTGTGCATGACAGAGTACAAAAATAGTTGAGAGAATCTGTGTTTGTAAGACATTGAGAGAGATCAAGAACAAACTATACAATCTTGATATCAATATACATGCCGACTCTTTCAAATCAATCTGTGTTCTTGATATTGTGATTGAATTGTTATATAGACTTGAAACTAGGATCATCAGGAATTATTATGGACCAATGCAACGGTGAATGCTGAAACGAGAGTCAACGGTGCGCTATATCGTAACTAGTTCGGCACCAATAGGTAAGTGTTTCGTACTTTTCATCTCTAAATTATGTTTACTAGATAATCCTGCTCGTTGTCCGATTATTCAGGTAGGTTCCCATAGGGCAACGGTGGCCAACGGTCACTGATAGCACTTCTACCATTCGTCTCAATAGTAATCTCCGTGGCACCAGGTATCAAACTGTGACCCTCGTTTCAATTCTAAAAGATAGAACTTACGGTTCGTGTTGGTGTCGGTCAATATACATATATATATATATATATATATGATGGGTGACCGATATTTCGCCGCTGCAATCAATCCAATAGTTTAGAACTTTTTATGACGAAAGGTTCGTAGGCGATATATATATATATATATATATATATATATATATATATATATATATATGCTACTTAAATCTCGTTGTTTCTGTGAATTGATTCACGGAACATTTGAAAGAAAGGAAGAAAAGAAAAACAAATTTAAATAGTATGTAGACGAATTCGATTGGGAAGTCCAATGGCAAAAAGAGGTATATATATAAAATCGAATGAAAGATGAATTGGTATGTAAGCTGACATAGAATGGATATATATATATATATATATATATATATATATATATATTAATGTATATATATTATGCATGGTCCACATAATGTAATGAGCTTTGGTTGATGTGATATCTTTTGATGCATATATATGTATATGTACATGTATATGTATATGTGTATGTGTATGTGTATGTGTATGTGTATGTGTATGTGTATGTGTATGTATATGTGTATGTGTATGTGTATATGTATATCTATGTATATGTATATATATATATATATATGTGTGTGTGTGTGTAAATATATGTATATATAGGGGCTAATCAAATGAGAACCATTTTGTGTGTGGTAATCGTGAGATCCAATCTCAATCACAAATCAAATGTTAAATTAGAAAATTAATAATTTTGGTAATTTTTACTTAAAATATTAATTAAGGGCATTTTAGGAATTTTATAAATATCCTCTCACATCTCTCCTCTTTCCTCTCTCCGATGAATCTTATTTTGATGAACTTTATGTGAACACATGATATACACTGTGATACCTACAAACGATATTCACTATGATGCCCATATATACATACAAGATGCATAATGTGATACCCAAATATACATACAAGATGCACAATGTGATACCCTTTGTAAAACAATGAAAATAATGAAAATGCACACTATGATCCATTTCATAAAATAAAGAAAATACATTGTGATACACGTGAAACATTGTGAACATTATCACTATGATACATTTTGATTCATAAATGTCTTTAAAATACGATGTATATTATGTAATTGATATACTAGGTAACTAATTTTAATTAGATATTTTGATTAGTTGTCAAAATTACTATATTAACCTCTTAGCTTATTTAAGAAATATCCTTAAATATATCAAATGAGTGGTTCACATTGGATCTTACGATTACCACAAACTAATCAGTTTTCCCTTGAATAGGCTTCTATGTGTGTGTGTGTGTGTATATATATATATATATATATAAATATGTGTGTCTGTGTGTATATATGTATGTATGTATATGTTAAACCAAAGGCGTATGTAAAAATGTCGGCCCATGGATCATTAAAATATATAGTGTCAAGGGAACCACTCGATTACCTTGGATCGTAGATTGTGATGATGTATTTTATATTAAAATTAAAATTATGGTCTTGGATTTTTAGGGGAGACGCTAGTCACTTCAAAGATCGGTTTGGGCTACTAAATGTATTATGAGTTACACGTGAATTGTTTTTAAAATGGTTGCATGCTTTATTTATATTCACAAGCTTGTTTGAAATTTCTCGAGATTTTTAATATAGCATATATGCGTAAAAAAATTGTGTTTTGAGTATTTGTGTGGCAATGAGAATGTACTATGGTATGATTTTATGAAGACGAGTATGCTTTATGAGCTTGTCTAAGTCGTAAGTGCGGACATGTTGTGTGAGTCCGCCAGGTAATGTTGTGTGAAGTAGACATCTCTCATAACGCCGTTGCTTTGTGATGCAGACACCCATTATAATGTCGTTATTTTGTGAAAAGTATTATTCTCATCAAGACATACTTAATTTATGAAGATTAGTGAAAATTGTTCATTGTAAAAGTTGTTGTTCATGCATAAACCGTGGATTTACTGGGCCTTAGGCTCACCCAAAACTCTTTTATAACTTTTTCACCCGGGCGGCTATTAGACTGTAAAGAAAAGTGGGATAAAGAGAGATATAAAGATTAGCACCAAGAAGGATATATGCAGATCAAGACATTGTTATATAAAGCAAAGTTATGTTCGTCAAGATTGTAACTTTAGATGGTGACATAATTTACAAGATTAAAGATTTCACTTCCGCTGCAATGTTAGTATTTGATCTTGGGATACTAGTTTTGTTATATTTATATATTCAAATTTTTGGGATGTTACAATCTTACTCGTTAATTTCGAGTAAAATTTTATTATAATAACAAATAATTTCAGAGTAATTATCAAAACTGACATGTACTATTAAGTATGTTGGATAATTTCATTGTAATATTGGATGGTCTAAATGCAGGTGTTGCATATCAGAGCCGTTCCAGGGACGGCAGATCGGACATACGTCCAGGGTCCATAAAAATTAGGGGCTCAAACTTTTTATAGTTTAAAAAAATTAGTAAATAAAATATACATAAAAAAAATTAGTAACTAATAAGATAAAAAAAGATTTTCGTACTACATTAACTATTAAAGACTCCAACATGTATGAATTAAATATATTGGAGAAAAAAATACATAAAAAGGTTAATTTGTCGTTCATTACA